GAAAACGAGTAATACTTGATAATACTACCTACCTTCTGTAAAAATGTGTCCGATCTACACAACCACGGCGTTCTTATTTGAACAAGTTTTGTCCTTTCCCGGAAACTACTGAACAAAATTCTATTTATTCGTCTGTTAACATAAAAAGTTACTCGAGACGAAAATGTTATTAAGATTATTTGCTTACAAACATATAGGTAGGTATCTTTAAATAATTTCAGTTACATCACATATAAAACAGTGGCATATTAAGTAAATAATAAATGGTAATATAAACAACGAATACATTTGAGTAACAATAACTGGTTTTGATAATGATGTCATCGTGTTTAATATCCAATATTCTTTCCAAAAAGACGCTAAAATGTGAACGCTGTAAGTCGAGGTGTAGTTAGCTTTCACACCATCTGTGAGAGGGACACGCGCACATGATACCTTCGAACTACGCCCTCAACTGTGTTTATTCGGAGCCCAGTGCTAACTCCACCGTTTAAACACTACGTGCTAGCAGCCAATGAATTAACTTTTCATATAAATAAAATTCACGGTACTCTAACCTCCTGAAATTAACACCTTGGCGTAAATACTATTTAGTCTCGTTATCTCATACCATATTGATCTACAGATCGTATGACCGTGTTAAGACTTATAATAATTATCTAAAGCTTAGTAGCTGTGGTTAGTAGTTTGTTGAAATTAATGCTGCTCTATGTTCAGCAACAACACAATTTAAAACGTTTCATAAGATTGAAAAAATCTATACCTAATAATTTTTTGGACAATTTCCAAACTCAACTAGATTCAAATATAATATAAATAATACTATAAAATTTAACAAATAAACTATAATATTATTTAAAAGACGACGCCGTTAAATAATTCTAAAACAAAATGTTATACATATTTAATTATAAGATGTGTCATTTTCAAAGCAACTAATGTTGTAAAAAAATTATTGTCATTAGCATAAGCATTAGCAGTACGTTAAACATAGCAGTTTCGAAATTTATGTGACGAAAAATCAATATTTACAAATATTAATTTTAAATTTAACTACCAATGTATTTAGTATAGTTAGAAACTCGTGAAAGTAAAAAACGTTAAATTACTATGAACCGCATTTAGCAAGCACACGACTAAATATATGTTGATGGTTCCTGACAAGTACTTGAAACCTTTGATTAAAAGCTCCAAATATCTATTAATTAATTAGGTATATTATTTTTTCATAAGGAAATCTTATTGCTTTTCCATATAACATTATTGTAAAACATTTTACTATAGCCTAATTCTTGTGTAAATTAAAATATAATTAGCCTCTGTTTTCTGTTTCATTTATTTTAATTTTTATTTGGAAATGAAAAAAATTACATGAATTATTCTATAAAGCCGACATCCATGTTTGCTCTGCGGAGTCTACATTTACTATTCCGTGCGTAAACTTGTAAACAAGTGTCTCCTTGCTTGTCCACATTTACGTCCAAACGTGTGCTTAAACATTGTGACAAGAAACGTGTTCGATAATTATTGGAAGGATCAATAGCGCTATGCCAACTATTCGTGGTCGGCAAACAAGCGAGTTTTACGACTGTCGCTCCACCATTATGCTCCACGTTTCTATTTGAATCTTAATTTCCAACTTAGTTTACTTTAAATACGCTTTCAAGTCATATGTTTATTTAAAACTGGTACGCTGAAACGTGACTACGCCAATTGTTACCGTAGTTCATATCTATTATGTATACCTATATGTATTGTAGCTATTTATCAATTGACGAGAGAATTTAAAAACATACAGTAAATTTTACCTGTATACTAATTTCAGAAGAACCTAAGTATGTAAGCTATGTAAGCACTAAGTACTTACTATGACTCCATAATGTACAATTCTCATTAACTGCCAAAATTATCCGTACACATTTAAATAATTTATGAAATCGTATTAACAAAAATTCAAAACAATTTTAGTTTAAAGTATTAATAGTTACGTAACTTTCATAAATATTACAAAAAATTCGACTGTAAGATTCCACTCTAGATAAGTACTTATTATAGGTATATTTTAAATAACCTAAGTCAAAACTTTATTTTACACGATAAGCTCAGAGACCCCATTATTCATTCGTAAATAATATTTCCTGTTCTGTAAATAATAAACCATATGCAAATTATCAGTGTTTAAGAAAGCCGACGGTCCTGTATCATAACTTCCGCAGCGCCCATCATAAAAATCCGATATCGCTAAAATTCTTCGTGGGCGGCCTTATGCAAATTGCTGTACCTGTAACCCTAGCAAGACAAACAAATACACCTTGTCCCGCCTGTATCGGTTTACTTAGGTTTACGATGCGTGTGTAAAGTATAATCATTCCTATTTCACCAAAGACGCCGATATATTTTCCAAATTCACAAAGTTGACCAAAAAATGTGAGGTACAACAAAGCTTAGGAAAAAAACAAAGATGTTTTATTTTTTATACGGCCAATCTACATATATTATTTATCTGTGTAATGTTTAATACATCAAGTTTTGAATGTTCAATAACGACATTCTAACACTTGAACATTGTAACTTACCCTGATATAAAATTTATGAAATGAAAATGTGTAGTCAAAGACAACGGTCACGAAAAACAAGAAATAATTAAAAGTAGTTTCAATTAAATTATTCAATATTATCATGAAATTGATAAAATTATTTTTAACAAACTGCTTTTATAAACCATCTGTTAGTTGCACTGTTGTTAATGCTAACAATATTTTTACGTCATTCACCATTTCAAATAGAAAATCATCTCAATGGAATCGGATATAAGACAAATAATACTGAACTACTTTAAAAGAGATTGTGACGATTCAATCATTTTTGTTGGTGAATTAATTATTTGTATCTAAAGAAAACGAACGATACGAAAATATTGAATTTCTATTCTTCTTTTTTTTATTCAGAAGTTAAAATATGTAAAAATGAGTATAATTCGTGTAATGCTAATGTTAACAAGCCTTGTAAATGTAATTAAAAACGACTTTCGAAGGTTTTAAATCAAAAAATAAAACACTAAATTAATATTAATGAATATACTTTCTTTTATTAACATCGAAAAAAATAAACTGTTCGAGTGAAAATTTGCGTAGGTAATTGAATTGAATCACAGAGTCCATTGAACCACTCCCAAACGCTTCCACCGAATACAACAATACCTTAACAGAAACAACCAAACAAACATACATTTGGGAATGATTAATAGCTCGAGCGTAAAATATCAAATAGATTACATTATTCAATCATATACAACTCCTATTCACATATGGGCATATAGTTCTCAACATACACCCACTGCCATACTTCAAACACTTTAAATTCGCTGACTTTAAGCAAACCCAGTAATAACCATAATATGTTGAATACACAGTTCAGTTAAAATTGTATGAGATTTTTGTCATATAAAGGCAGTGAATGAATGCCGACTATAAAAAGGACGCAAGAGCTTGTGTTATATAATAAAAGTATGCCTTCAGGCTGCTTGATTAAAAATATTTTTATTTTAAGCCGTTATATACTGGCAACACCTGCCAATAGCGAGGACTTACATAGTAACAATAACTTTTTTTATATTAATAATTAAATCAATAAATCACCATGCGACGTCCAGTCTTTATCTGAATATATCGCATTTAATAGAGCTTCGTACAATTATAAATCTAAACGCTCACCCTTACATAACACTTGTGTAACATGAGCCAAGTCTGTTTACATCACCCTATATAAATGATGATTAAATTAATTATATCAATATATATCAGTCATAAGTTATTTTACTCACAACTGTACAGCATACCACTTAGTGTTAACGAGACTATAATTTGAGACCTATATTTTTCACTCTTCCATTAACAGAGTGTGACACACTGTACTAATGTTACTAAGATAAATAGTTTTAAGTTTTACATTATATTATCTTTCAGACATTATATATTAAATGAAATTAACTAGCCCCTTTGATACACATTCATTATTAAAATAGTGTTAAGTTGTTTATTATGGATTATGCGCGCTAAAAGTTACAGAATATTCAAAGATATATCAATAAGTTTTCAGAGTAACTATATGAGCCAATACTTCTGCAATGATTTTAACAATAAATATTATAATTGCAACTAATCTGATTCTGCATTCTGACTCCAATACGATAATAATTATATGAATAAAACTCACGTCCAGCGTTTAGTAAAATTAAGATAATCATTAAAACCCCAAAAAAAAAACAAAGAAAAAACAATCCCTAAGCATTAGTACCACTTTAACAGATTAAAAGATAAATAAAGAAAAAACTTAAAAATAATATGAAAATAGAAATATAAGAGCACGGGAAACCATATAAAATGCAACGTTTTACAAAAATAAAACGATGTTTTACATATAACAGCTTTTACATTCATATAACAATATTTTTTTATTCTACTAAAGTTATATTTCAAATTAAGCACGTTTATATAAAATGCAATTCTTTATACATTAAACGATTGTAATATATTGGAGGCTGTAAGTATTTTAATGTACAAATGAAGACAGATTTTCAAATATTACATCCAGGCTCATACATGATGTTTTAAGGGGCGAAATTTTATCATTACCAAATAATACCGAATATTAGCTCATTAATGCATCATCTACCGTCTAATAGTGGAAGGCTATATATTTCTAAGATACAGCGACTTTTAACATAGTGATGTGTCATACTATAAGAGAGACGCGGCTTACATGAGCAATATTAAATGCCGTCAATAAATTAAACGTTTCAATGAGTTTTTGAATTCAATTTTTACCATCTATCCGATTGATGGTATATTTAATTGATATTTTTAATATAAATCGTTAATAATCGCAAAGAAATTACGATGATATCAATGAATTCGAACTTCATACAGATAATATATGCAGTACTATTGCGAGTTAGCTTCAATAACAGTTAATGGTTATATATAATCGATTCATTTGTTTCATTCTCTGGTGGATGTGTCCATGGGGCTCGCGGGCTGCATGGAGGGCGAGGGGGGCGCCGGCGGGGCGGGGGCGGAGCCCGACTCTAGAGGCACACGGGGAGGCAACGAAACGCCCGCACCGGGAACTGCCGGCTTCACGAAACGCTCGCTAGCACGACGAGCTTGCTGAAATTATATAGGAAAATAAATTAATATGTTTATCTTTACATATATAAAAATTTCGTGTCACGTGTTTGTCCGCGATGGAGTCCTAAACTACTAAACCGGTTTTAAATTTGATTTGGATTCCGTGTGCATTTTGATCCCACTTGAAAGATAGGATAGGTGAGATGCAAATTATTTGTCTATTAAAGAGAATTGTTTGTCATTATTACAATTATCTGTTGACTGAGTTAAGTATTCAATAGATGGCGCTATGTTAAAAATGCAAACGATTTTAATAATAGCATAACCAAAACGTGTTTCTGAGGCTAAGATATAAACTAAATTTATTTATTTAAAAAACGTAACAGATATTTCTTGATTATATGGCGATACAAAGTTCGCCTGGTCTTCTAGTTATTATATATTTTATCTTGATGCTATAATACATGTTTGAATACAATATATAGATATATTACATTTTGTACTGAAATAATTTTATTAAAGTTTAATTTAATCAATATTCCTATTTAAAAAAAGTAAAAATAGCAATGGCATTGAAGTTTAGATTAGATTTGAATCACCTAAATTAAATAACAGTTTTATTTTATTAATTTTAATATTTATTTCTAATTGTGTCATCATGGTTTTAACAATAAAAATTTTATAAAGTATTTCTCTATTATATTAATTATAACAGATTTAAGATAAGTTATCTAAAGATTTATTTGCCTTCGATTATCTCGTGTGAATCAAGTCAATATCGTTCTCCCCTTCTCATAACTCATTTGGACTATACATGTTTGAAATAAACTTTTCTTATACCACGTTGGTTTCAAACAAGATCATAACATTGATGTTAAGTCAACATAAAGTATGGGTAATACGCCTTAAAATACATTTTATATTTTATGTAAGGTAACTAAATTACTAGTGCACTCTATTAAACATTATAAATAGAATTAAAATGTGATTTCACATAATAAATACTATAGTGTGATAAAACACAAATGATATCACAATATGAAATAATACATTATTAATAATTAAGCATAATATTACGCAAGTAAGTGAGAACTAAGATAAGTATTAACACTAATAATAGCGTGATCACGGTTGGTATAAAGTAACTGAAACGTCGAAACTACGCAGTTTTTAAAATCTTAAAATAACGCGTAAATATTAGTTTTATTTAAGTGAATATTCGCGAAAGTCTTAGATCTCATTAAGATTTACATATATTCTCTTCAAGATTATATTAATTCCAATCTTTTAAATATGTTTGGACGACTTTTAGACGATATTCATTCATTTATATACAGGGTAACTGGTGAATTACTATCGATACTTGAGGACGTGATATTTATTTATACGGAAATTTGGTCAAAAATGAAGTACCAATTTTTTTTACATAATTCGAATGAGAATCATGTACCGAGTATTCTCCTTAAATATTGATAGTAATTCACCAGTCACCCTGTATATTTATAACCTGTGAATTAAAGTGCAGCGCCGGTCTAGCTGGGTTGTGCAGAGCGTATGGAGACAGTGGCCGCGACCCGCCCGGCGAAGACACGCTCCTGGACCGCGCCTGAAAACACAATATATTATTATACTAGCTGCGCCCCGCGGTGTTACCCGCGGATTTTCGGGTCGTAAAGTAGCCTATGTTTTATTCCTGGACGTTAGCTTCCTGTTTACAAAATTTTATCAAAATCGGTTCAGCCGTTTGAGCGTGAACAAGTAACAAACATACACACACACTCACATATTTTCGCAATTATAATATCAGTAGGATTATGTTACTAGCTTCAATATAACGTCATTTATTTTTATTGTGAATCTATAAGACTGTATTCATTTATATTCTATATTAAAAAATAGTAACGGTATTATCGAGATCTGTGCACTCATAGCCTATAAGCGAAATAAAATGCAATTTCTTATGCAATAATATGACAAATTTATTTATACGTCATAGGTAAAATATTTGACTGTAAAATTTTTATGCAAAATTTAATAGTAAAGGCAATCTTAATGAATTAAATTATATTTTCCCCCTTGGACAAGTTTAAGCTGTATTTTAGCGACCTTTACCTGTGAAGTTTACTTTAAATTTGACTATTAGAACCCTAAGAATACCTATATATAGAACCAGGAGCAAATAAAAATGAATAAAACTTAAAAACTTGGTCCTCGTAATATTTAACACAATCGTGGGTTGTTAACGATTTACACTTTATCTCATAATATAAATAATTGAATGAAACAAGGCAATATTAATATGCAGGACATATGCAAAACACATTGAATTAAGGAAAATATAAATTACAACTCAGAGAAATCTTACTCTTACATCTATGTCTGTATGTTACAAGTAAGAAATTTACACGTTAATTACTGCATATTTAGATATTAGATATACCTTAAACTAGCACAAAAATATCGAAATACTGTAAAATATATAGTTAATATTAGTTCATATTATATACCAACATTTAGAGCCTCATTAAATTGGCGTTCCTCTTCCATCTCCAAAGAAGATTCACTTTCAGAAAGGTGTCGGCACAAAGCTTCGCGACGTTCGACCTACGAACAATTAAAATTTAAATAAAAAAATAATCTAGGAAACTTTAATTATATAAAATGTATTAATAATGTAATAGATGCCTGACTTCTTGACGCCAAGAAAATGTATAAGTTAATAAGATACAAAACAATAGAACTTATAGACTAATTATTAATTCAACACTATATATGGCTGTAAAATAAAATAAAATAAGTCACCCTTTATGTTATTTATAGACTTTTTAATTTTTTTATACATATATATGAATATAAGTATAAATTATAGTACAAACATATTTCCTATTGCCTGAAATATTAACAATAAATAGTGTTTAAACAGCTTCTCATGAAGTTACCTAATAACATTTGGAATTGCACTACATCCAAATAAGAAATGCTCTGTTTCATAAGACATAGCTAAGTATCATAAATCTCATATACTTTTTATAAATTAATATTTTGAATTGTAATATTATATTAACAAAAATGTTAGGTTTTTCTTAAGTATTGATAGATAGAATATATCCAACTACCACAAATACCTAAATATTGTTTATATACATACATACAATAAGATATACATATTTAGTTTACCTCTTGTTGTAATTTCCTATGTAATCGTACATTCTCTTCTCGAATATGTTTCTCCTCTAGTGCAAAACGTTGCATTTTTTCTTTACTTTCATTCTGGGAAAAGGCCAGTTGGTTCCTATAGAGCAAATAATTTTATTATACAAATTACATACCGAGTATATATGGGATGAAATATTATTACCTCAATTTGACAACTTCTGATCTCAGAGTTTGAATATGACTACTTAAATTAGATGCTGTATCTCCATTACTGATGTCCCTGGCAAGGCAAAGCATAATTAATAGTATTCCTGTATAGTTAACTAACAAACAAAACAATATAAATTTGAATATATCGATGGGTCCTATGTATGGGGCCAATATAGCAATTTAGCCATTGCTTTAAACACTTCATAAACTGTATTCTACAAAATCCATATAAAAATGTGTATTTGTTATTTGCTAGATTTAATTTTTATTGCAGTTAAAAAGCTTAACACACTTTTTAACTTATAAGTTCTTATATAATGTATTATTGTATGTACTATATATTTAAAAAATATAAGTATTTAAAAAAGTAGTAATTTTACAAAAAAGACTATCGAACTTAATTGATGTAAATGCATGTTATAGTTGCTATGCAAGGTTTGAAAAGCATCAGTTGTTGCATGTAAGAGATACATTGAAATCAAACTTAAAACGCCTCTACTGAACAATTGCCATTTTGTACATTGACACTTATATGCAAGAACCATCAATAATTAGAATCTTAGTTTATATCAAATATATTATTCAATTATATGTATGAGATTGTATTACAAAACACAAAAACTCAAAAATCCACCTAGGACTTGCTGGATCTGATACTGGCTGATCTAATCTTATTTGTAGTGAACGTTTTTCAGCCTCCAACTTATCCATTCGTTTCCAAAGCCTATTTACTAGCGCCTCTTGTTCTTGTTCTAAGGTATTTTCTAATTCTACCTGTAATTATATATAAGCAAATATAAAACCAATATATGCATTGTAAGATTTTTATATAAATAATTAGTATATACCTTTTCCCTGCGAAGTCTTTCTAAGTTAGTCTGCTTAGCAAATGTCTCAGCTTCCAATTTTTCTATTTTTCTCATTAATTTATTAACCAAACATTCTTGTTCCTGCTCTAATGTCTGCTCGAGGCGACACTTTTCTTGTCTCAACTGTAAAAAGATGGCAATTTAATCATTAAAAATTATATAAATCATGATAAATGCTTCTATTAATAACTGAAAGGTGCCAAAAAATTTTATGCTAAATTTTATGCTAAATCTAACTTAAAATACGAAATTTCTCAGCATTCCATAGAATCACTTTGCGGGTGCCGTATTTATTATATTACAGAGAGGACCTTCAACGGTATCTGGGATTTGCAACCCAGGTGTAGGTTTAAGAGACCCCTATCTAACACTGTATTCACTTACTTGGTTTAATTTACGAGATAGATCATTTGTAAGACACTCTTCCTCCCTTTCATAGTGATGAGCCAAAGTTTCTTTTTCTTTCTTTAACGCCTGTATCTTCTTTAGCAGAGTGTTAGAAATATATTCCTCTTCTTGTTCAGCCTTTGCTTGCTATAAATATTAAAATTAAATCTAATTATGCCAATTATGAACATTGCATTGAATATTTCAAAATACAAAATCCATACATTAAGAAATATCTACTTATAATCTTACTATTAATAATTCTACCTGGCAATTTCCCAGCTTTAGCCAGGGTCTGTCTTACATGTTGTGAATAATTTTGGCTAATTTTCACGACCGGCCGCCTGCCTGACATCAACCCTCTTTTGGGAATGTATTAATCAGTGATGTCTAAATACTCTTAGAAAGTACATATAACTCGGAAAAGTCACATTGGTACTTGCCTGGGCCAGGATTGAACCCGCGCCCTCGTGCATGAGAGGCGGGCCCGTTTAACCACTAGGCCAGCACTGACTCTTGATTAATAGTAATCTTACTATTAATAATATTGATAAAATTATTTCTATATACTTTTATAAATATTCATACTTACAATTGACACAGATGCCTGTCGCAGTGCTCGATTCTCTTCCTGCAAAGCCTTCACCCTCAATTTATAGGTGTCAAGTTCAACTTTTAAAACTCTGAAATTAAAGATATGAATGATTTATTTCTATTAATATTCAAATTTCCATCTAGTTCAGTAATCAAACTCTGTTTCTTGAAATATTACTAAAGACTGGGCAATAAATTTTAATAAAGACTGTCACACCCAATATCATATGGCTGAATTTCAATCCTTAAAAATATAAAACTTAAACTAAAATATATATATTTTCAATTAAAATGCCCACATTTCATATGTTCATATTGAAAACAGCTATTAGAGAATGAAGACAAATAGTAAAAAGTTAAATTATACAATAAGAATTGGTTTTGGACTACTTACAAGAATTAACTAAGATACTGGATATGAATATAAATTAAGAATATTTAAAATCAAAAATATTAATTATCTTATATCTTATTGTCTTCTTGAAAAAATGTATTGTTTTATAAATATCAAACACATGCCGAAAGTCAGTTTAACTTCTAATAAGACTTTAGGAACATGTGTTCCAAAGGCCATTTTTTTTTTCTAATAATATATTGTTTAAAAAATCATGTACCGATTTTGTTGTTGCAATGATTCAATTCTCTTCTGCAACTGATCCCGAGAAACGGTGCTTGGAGGCAACATAGCTCCGCCATCGAGCGAACTCGAGTCACTCTCTGATGCCGAATCACCCATTTTATTACCTATAAAGTGATTAACACCATAAGTAATACACTAATTAAAAATACATATATTATCTTTCTTAAAGGAATTACCTGGAGAAGTTACTGTATCATCCATTTGCACTGCTTTTACGGCTGAGGACAGTAACAAAATGTCATCAAATAAATTGAGATACAAAATTAATGTTATTCTAAATTTAAACAAATCTTATAGTGAGCAATTCTATTCAAATATAACTATTTATTGATTATGAAAGAAACACAAAACAAGCTATAATAACACTAGAAAATAACTTTCGAATAATTCTGTTTCCCGTCTTTTGTTGCAATTTATATTTCAATTAGTATACTCTACCCAATTTAAGCGATTGATATTTTTATAATCTGTGATCAATAAGTATTTATTTTAAAAAGTGCATACTATGTATTCTCAGTGAAACCTTTATCAATTTAATAATAACTCTGGATTATATTATTTTATTTTGAATTACTTATTCCAAATAAATATTAATAATTTTATTGATAACATGCGAGTTATATGGTGATTGTATCCATTTGTATATGTATTTCTATATAAAAACCAGTAAACAAGAAATTTTTAAAAAGAAAACAACGTGTTTTTCATTCTGGGACGCAAAAAGTTTCGCAGCCTAATAATGGAACAAAATCCACGATGGTGTTATAGTAAACAGATCAGGTCTCAATTGTGGACACATTGAGGTTTTCAATACTCAAATAATTTTAATATCACAATATATTAAAAATTAAACTCTTGAAATTATTATCTGTATATTTAAAACATATATTAACAGTACTTTTATAACTAGATCAAGATGATTGATAACTACTTCTTAAAAAATTTATGTATCACCGTTATTTTAAATAATTTCCTAACAACATGAATAAATTTTTAAAAAATGTATAATTAATGGGTAATTTTGAAAACCGAAATGTTTTAATAATTCCCTTTCTTCATTTAAGAATAGCTTACATTTAATAATTTATAAATAAAAATATTTTTTTGACTTATGATATCGATAAATGTTATTCACCTCACTAGCTATATTGAGTGAAGACTTTAATAAGTAATGTTTGGAGAAATTAGCTTTATAGTTATTTTCCAAGTCAGAAATAATGTTTTTTGAGATTAATATATACAATTTATAAAATTCCATAAATAAAAGGAATTTAAAATTTTACACCGAATAAATAATATCGGCCATTCTATATTCCCTACGCATGTGGCAACACTACAAATATTCTTAAAAAACATTTGTAAAAAAGTGACACACACGCCATAATGTAAATTGCTTCTAGATTTGGCGTTTGAGTTAAATTTTTGCATTTTGATGCTGAAAGTTATTATTTTCTGTATACATATGGCATTAAAAATGTCCCTAGTTAATATTGGTAAGGAACAAATCAATAGTTTTGTTTCATCAATGATAAAAAGTTCCGCTTAAACAAGAAATAGGTTCGGCCAAAAGAATCGAAGCCATTTCGTTTCCTTCACCCAAACTACTTTAGACCTAATTTTTGTGTTACTAAAATGTGTTTAAACAAATGACAAAACAAACTGTAATAGTGAAAAATATAGTGTTTTCGATGTGTTAGTTATGTCGTCGCCATAGTTAGTTTTACTTGATCCACGGAGTCATTGGTGCTGTTGTTGCACGTAATGATCAGGGTGTATGAATTAGCTGTCAAAGGAACGGTTGTATCGTATACTTTGTATACCAACCTACGGTTGTTTAACTTCACTATAACAGTGGCCAATTATTAATCATATGTTAAAGTGATATACACATACACAGTATTTGAATTTAGTATATGTCAATAAAAAATGTTATGGTTGCTTAGTTTAATAATCCATAGTAAATACGATAGTAGATGTTCTAAAAATTACATACATTATGAAGTTTGTAAGAAAGCCTGTAGTATTTATATGTATAATGTGTATGTTTTGTCTGACTTGTTGTTGTTATTAGGTTAATTCCTTGCAATGGCTCAATATTACCAAATAGTTGGGCAGGGGCATTCATTGACTATTGAGGATTTACAACGCTATTGTCCCAATATAATATGTTCAGATTCGTTGATAGTCAACCAAGATGATCAACAACAATATGCCCCACAACAGGTTAGTGACTTATAACACCATTATGTACATCCATTACTTTGTATTTCATATTTGAAACAAACTTATTTTCCCTTGAGATTATTATATATAACCACCATGCCTATTTACAGTGGACTTTTTAAATGTATCTCATATAAAATTACAGGTGGTAGTCCAACAATCTGAACAGCCAAATGATATAATTGTAAGCGAAGGAGTCCAGCCACAACTTGTTGTCGGTGATGGCTTGCAATATCAACAGCAATACATTATCCGCCATGACCCACCATTGCAGCAGCAACCTCGTACAGACTTTCAACAACAACAACAGCAGCAACAGCAACAACAACAGCAACAACACCAGCAAGCCTTACATAGACACCAAGTAAGTGATAATATAAATAGCGATGCTTATCCAGACATGAATATTAAGTGTCTCTATGAATACTTTATTTATAGGTTTACTACACATCTAATTTATCTGTGGATGCACAGGTTGTGTTGCAACAAGCTCAACAGATCATTGATGCATCTTTGATGCAACAGTCATCCCCACAACGCCCACAACATGTATGTGTTATATTAGCTAAATGTATGGCACAGTAAATAACATGTTATGCATGTATGGCATTAGGATACATTTATTTATTTTAGCATGAATCTTTTGGTTCAATGTTTTAATACATGCTTTGGAGATAGTGGCATTATCAACAATAGAACTAAACATGAGATAAAAATTGTACATATAAATCTCTAACAATTTTATTTCTGTTCTATATAATTTTCATTTATCTTATAGTTTCCTTCATTATTATTTTTCATTTCCTTTAGCTCCCAAAACCAAATAAAAAATTTACTACTGGAATTTAAAACAAATATTTCATGATGATTTTCCCCTACATTAGTTAGGTCCAAGTATTCCTTGTTTATTTTATTACACATTTTAAGACTCTGAAGAATTTTCCTAATATTATTGGAACTATTTAACCTTCACTTCAGTGAAATAAAAAAATTAAGATGTATATATTCTAGTCTTATGCTATATAAGAATTGTTACAAGTATATCCTTTTTTAATCTTCTCAATACAATCACTAAACATATATCAGTTTAATCCATTTATTTGCAATATATGGGTCATTATGCATAAAGTGGATACTAGCAACAATTTTAAACTGTGAATCATAGTTTAAAAGAATTACTAGTTATTCTTATAGGTCTTCTTTTATTCTTTTTATTATTATTTTTTCCTAGTCCCTAATGTGATTTTATCCACAACAAGCATTACACCATTTTATCATCCACCTGTTGATTTAGTACATGTGATAGATATTTTTGTTCTTCTGTTTAAAATATTATTCTGAATCTAGTTTAACAAATAATTCTAGTAATTGCTTTGCTTCTGCTCATCTATGCAAATTAAATTCAGTCCTTTTAAATTATATGCTAGTTGTTCTTTATATGTTTGAGCTATATTATTGTAAAGTTTCTTTAAAATTCATACAATGATTTTACATTTTATCTCATATTTTCTCAACCTTTCTTATAAAATATAGTACTTACAAATCACCCAGCTTGTTATAAGTGTTTTAACATTTAATGTTATAAAGGTAATTTTATTTTTCCTATCTCTACTTTCAAGAAAGCTCTAACCTTCTCAAATGTTGACTATTCCATTATATTTTTTTGACTGATGAAAATGTAAGGAATTTAACATCCAAAGTAAGGGTTTCTAGAATGTTATTATGAAAATTAAATGTTAAAATTATTTGATATATCTAAGGACTCTAACAATTTAACTCAAAGTGATTTGGGTCTTAAGATTTTAATTTATACATATGAAAGATGCTCAGAAATAATATGTTTAAGACTGTAACATTGTTTCTGACCATTTTATTTATAGAAATAGCAATTAAAATGTCTTAATTAATATGTGTTGGTAACAATTACAGAGTAGTTGCTTTTTTACGATACAATTAATATAAAAATAACTATTGGTAGATGTTGTCAAATAAATCTTGTAAATAGATTAGATATGGGATATTTTTACACCTTATTAAGGAATTTACGGACAGATCTACAATACTACCCTACAAGTCCTTTTGTTAGGACTATGAATGTTTTCTTATATTTTATTGAAAGAAAAAAATATATATATTACCAGAAAAATTTATATTAAGCTTATTTTTATTTAACTAAAACAGCTTTATTACTTTACATTTCCCAAATTAATATAGAGTTACATAATAACATTGCTCTTATAATAATATATCATAACTGAAACTGCACTCCTCTCTACTAGAACATTTGTCCTAATTTCCATTAAAAAAACAATTTTTTGCAACATTATAAATATTTCTATTTTTTACCAAATATAAAGAGACTAATAATTTTCATTTTCGATTAATAAATTAATTTTATGAATTCGTCACTCATCTTAACCGACTTCAATAAAGGATGATTTCATTCATGTTGTAACCATACATCAAACCATATCATAATAATATTGTCTAGTTGGTGAACCCAGCGCACATACTATCACAGCCGACCGTCATCCACCCGGCACAGCAGCCGCCGCCGCAGCCACCGCCCACACCGACACACGCGGCTCAAGCTGTTAGTTAACGCTTTGCTGCTTATATATCCATTATAACTTATTGTCATATAAATCTTACAACGATTTTCTGATACGCGAATTGTAAATTATAGGCACCGCAGCAACAACAGCAACAGATATCGAGAGCATCGCCGCAACTGATGCAGCACTTGCAACAACATCAGCAGCAGATACACCTACAACAACTCCAGCAGCAGCAACAACAGCAACAGCAATTGCAACATCATCTACAACAGCAACAACATTTACAATCACAGCAGATACAGCCGCAGCAAATACAACAGATTGTTATGCATACTGCATATGTTAATCAACCAGTAAGTTATAGACTATTCAATTTGTCCAAATTCTATTTTTGATATTCACCCAAAGACCCGACCATTG